CGGCTAGTTGATCCGGAACCCAATGCCGCTGCAGTTGAGTTTTGCAAAGCTGGCTGTGTACCGGCCATGAAGATTGCGACCTGATTTGGCGGTTCAAGAAATTCCGGAATACTGCTGCCGTCGAAATACCCTTCGAACAAGCCGTCTTGAACTTGGTACAAGGACTCGGTTTCACCGGTGGATGACTCGCCATCGGAATAAACGGTCGTCTCACCTTCGGACACCGGTTCAGATCCGATCCCATGGACACATCCTACGAACGCACGCTTCATGGCGGGCTGAATCCGGGCAGGACTCGCACGCTGAGCCGTTTCGACGAGGTCGGTGCAGATGTCCGGCTCAGGGCCCGGTTCGCCGATCTTGCCGATGAAGACGTGAATTCCGCCGAAGGGGACCCGGTACCCGTACTCGATTGAGCCGGCGTCAGGGCCCCAGCCTGCATCGTCGATGTAGAGCTTGCCGCGATGACTCTTGGTCATCCGGCGCACTGTGTACCCCTTAAGCCCTTCGAACTTGCCCTCTAAGAACTTGAAACCATCGTGCGATAGCCCCACGGTGGGCACCAACTGTCGTGGAATTATTACGTCAGATGCCCTCGTGAAAGGACTTAGTCGTGGAGCCATCGCGACGGGTTAGCTTAGAGAGGTTAAACCGGACAAAGGACACGAGAGTTTTATACTAGTTCGGCCCCTTACGATGAAGGTAAAAGCCTACGTCTAGTTGTGATGGAATTACTGGGGTTTCGATTGCCAGGGAGCAAACACGCTATGCCTGGCTCTCGAGTTGTTGTTTCTTGTCCCTGAACCGCCGTCGGGTCGTCCCTATATATACACAGATTGACGCCCGGCCGGTTTACAGAGTCTCGAGACCGGCTCATACAAGTGTCCGGCTCGGTCTCTCCCTGCCTAACTTACAACACAAGTTTATACAACTATGGCGGTTTACCACCATGGGCCCTAATCCGTCTTTGGGCTCTGGGCCTCTAAGCTTTATCAGTAAAGCTCCATCTTCTTTGTCTTCATGGGCTTCAGTATGGTTGAGCGTGAACCGGCCCCTCCTGGGCGGTTTACACTCAGTAGTTATATCCCCAACATAATTCTTAAACTAATGATTTCTGCAAAAAGATCTAAGTGATTTGCCCAACAATTCTTACGATCAACTACAATAGGGGAAAATCCCTACTGAACCTCCAAAAAAATGAACACACATATGGATTGTTATTTTTCATTTTTCAAATCATCTGTGGAAAAAAATGTTTCTCTCATTCATGGGGGCATTCCGAAAACTAATAATCTACAAAAGACAATAAGAAAATGCACATTAAAAAAAGATATACAAAAAAGAGAGATATAAAGACAGCTTGAAACATATCTGCTTCATCATTGGGAAAAATAGAAAAAAGGATTTCAAACATTCTGTTAATAAAAACAAAAGTTTACACAAAAAAGATAAATTAAAAAGTAGTTTCAGATTTAAAACTAGCAAAAATAAAAAGAAAAAAACCATTTCAACATTTAATAGATTTCAAAAATGGTTTTAACTTATAGTTAAACTAATAAAACAAAAGTAAAACAATTTCAAAATTAACAGTTTCACTAATGCAAAAAATTCCAACGAAAGTGCTTGCACCTTTTACTTAAAAACTAAACATGCAAAAAGAAAAACTGAAAAAACAGTGAGAAATGGATACATACCATGCTTCCCAAAAGAACATGAGTCCTCATGAGGCGGTGCACAAATGCCAACCCTATGAACCCGTTGTTGAGCGGAAGCGGCCCATCTAGATCTGACTCCTCTTCCTGAGTCAACTCAAGCCCCCCTAGCGCGAACAATATCATCACCGTCATCACTGTTGTCAGCTTGCCTATCCTCGTCTTCTTCATCTGAGACTTCCATGTAGTCATTCTCACCCTCATATCCTTCACCTTCGGCACCATCCCCGAATTGAATCACACAGATAACTGCCCTTGGGGAAGGCTGGTCCAAGTAGAAGAGAACCAGCTGGCCCTTCCCCAACTTGTTGTCTGCAACAAATTTCCTCTATCCACTACCATACATTGTGCTCTTTCTGGGCCCCTTGTGACACTTCACGGTGTATGTCCATTTGTTTGCCTTAAACTTCAGTGTATCCCCTCTCAGGTCGTTGAAACGAACTCTTTTGTTGCATGGCACAACCTGTTGTGTGTTGAACACAAAAAAAAAGAACAACAAAAAACGATCATCAAAACTGCCTGAGAAAATGAACTGAGCACTGATATAAAAGTCAAAAAGATGCAAAACAACCTAAAAAAATCAGTCTAGAACTAGCATAGGTTACTACACATGACATAAACGCCCATCTAGTTCAAAACTCTGGGAGAAAAACAAATATCAACCTTCAACAACAACAAATAATTCTGTGATGATAAGTATCTAAAAAATAAAGATCAGGACAATGGAATAAACAAAAAAATAAAATAAAAATATATAGGTTGTGAAGTTACCCCTGCGTTTTTGAACTCCTTCCAGACAAACATGCTCATCCCGCTTGCCCTGCTCTCGCGGTAGCAAGGGCTCAAACAAACTCTGCACACCATCTCCTGTGCTGCATAAAAAAGTGATAAATTTGTGCTAGTGAGACGCATACATATTCAGCTAAAAAATGATTTTTAGAGGAACAAACTTGTATCCTTCCGAAGAGAAAGATTTCGAGATAATGATGAGATATCATTGGCGTAGCCACTAATGACCCAAAAAAGGAAAAAAAATGCGATGTGGGGATCCATCAAAAAGACCATATTATCTTGATTTCATATACAAAAAGGAATGAACATCATACTCATTCACATGGGTTTTCGGCGGAAAAAGAAAAAAGAAACTAAAATAAAACATGCTGTTGCTGGATACTTACTTTCATTAATCATTCCTTTTTAAAATCGATAAAAGTATCAGCAAAAATATAAAAATAAAACAAGGCCACTCCCATTCAGCAGTAATATGTACTATTTTACATAGAAAAGTTTCAGAAACAACAAGCTACTGATTATATAGGGGCTATCAAAAACAAATGAACATACCTACTCCTGCTGATGCATTCAGTGAATCGGTAGTAAAATCTTCTCTTGTTTCGATATTTTTTTTTTTCAAAAACATGCTACTGATTTAGCAAAAAGAGCCTAACACGGCATCTATATTGTCATCCACACTGATGTACAAAAAGGGTGTAAAAAAATGAACTATACACTATGTACAGAGGATGTAGATAAAACCTACTACCTACAAGCATAAAGAAGAAAAAGCGGTCTTGATAATCCTACTTCTAGTACAATCCAAAAGAAATAGAACACTTCATCTCAGTCTATTGGGCTACCAAAAAAAACAAAATTAGTACTGCTAGTTGTAAAACTAAACTTTACTGGATAGTTCAAAAAACATAGGAAAAAAAGCAAAATCTGGATTAGATAAGTGAATCTAGCTGTAACAAAAAAGAAACCAGCATCATACTCACATCCGCCACACCGACATTGCCGATCGACGCGTGTGAGCGAGAGACACTATTGTGCATTTCAACACGGAAAAAAAACCTAAAAAAAGTATCAACTATGGACGCAATTCTCTGCTTGAAACTACTAATCAGATATTTAATACAAACAAAAAAAAAAGAACGGTACCTCATCTTGCGGGGGTAAGTATAGACATACAAAAATCCTATCTACTCTACTGGATTCATGGGCACAGTAACAAAACTCCTACAGTGCAGCAGACATGCACTTAGCTTGGGCGAGGACCTCATGTTGCTGACTCACAACAAGCCCCTGGACTAAAATCTATTTTCAGACTAAGAAGCTAACAAAAAAAGTGAAATCAAAAAGACTAAAAAGTGAGGTCCCTTTGAGACACTACAAAAATGGCCTAGCAGCTGCTCACTCTGGCCGGCCCCTTTGAGACACTACAAAAAATACAACTTGATCTTGACCGTACAAACTACCACCTCCAAATCAATCCTCCAATCTATTGATTGCTTGAACAAATAAGGATACAAAAAAAATGCCTATAAATCCTGGAATCCATTATAGATTTGGATCTACTATTCTACACTTGATCCACAAACAAAACTACCCCCAATCCCCTACATATCTACGGTGAAGCATCAACAAGAAACAAGACAAAAAAAAGGATGGAGGAAGAAAAACTAGGGGGGAACTCACTCCAACAGCAGCTCGGCCATCCCCTCTCTCTCGTCCTCTGGTTCGTTGAAGAGAACCTTGCAGCTCGCCCTCTCTTCTCCCCCTCCGGATTTCTTCTGATTTGAGATTGGGGAATGGAGAGAGACGATGTGGAATGAGCTCTGACTCCCTGTTCCCCTCTTCTTAATCACCACGGGGGTGGCCGCTTCCCCTTCCTCTCTTTAATGCGGCTCAAAAAACAAAACGCAAAAAAAAAGCCCGCATGGAAACACAGCCCAGCCCACAAAACGCTCGCGCGGGATCGCGGTTCGACAGAAAAACAAAGGGCCGGTCCACGCCTTAGATAGGCCGAATCGAGGGACAACCCGCCCCAGCGCGAATCTACACGCTGCACAATATCGGACGGCTAAGCAGTCGACTGAGACTTTGCTGATTTTTAGCAGCGCCGATTCAGAAAAGGCTCTCCCCTCATCTCGGAGGGAGAATTGTAACCTCGTGTTGCCTAGTGGTTGCCGTCTAAATCAGTATGATTTAGACAATTCCGGAAAGATGTTCAGACTTCAGCGTCGATGGGGACACAGATTTTCAATATCTGGGAAGAAAATTGAACCTGTTGGAGCACTTTCTCTTTGATTGCACCCGTAGATGGTGATGTATCTCTTGCTTGCGACTTAGCAAAATTACTACATACTATAAATTTTACTCAGTAGTAAATCATGGGCACTTGTTTGTCACTGTCGGGCGCACATAGTACTACTTAGATAGGCACACCGGTAGTTGTTTATCAGAAACAAAATATCTTAATCTTTTCCTTGCCAGAGCTGAGCTTGAGACATGGCCCCGAGGGAGCACATCTTCTTCTTCCTACACGCCATCCCACTCCTCGTCCTTCTTCCCCTTGCTGTATCCACCACAACCAGCAACGACAGTTTCAGCTTCGTATACGATGGCTTCTCCGGTGTCAACCTCACCCTCGACGGCAACGCCAAGGTCACGCCGGACGGGCTCCTCGAGCTCACCAACGACACATCAACCTTGGCCACGCCTTCTACCCGACCCCGCTGAGCCTGCGCGGGTCGCCCAACAGCACGGTGCGGTCCTTCTCCCTCAGCTTCGCGTTCGCCATCCTCTCTGTCCACGACGGCATCAGCGCCGACGGCATGGCCTTCTTCGTCGCTCCCACCAAGAACCTCTCCAACACGTGGGCGCAGTACATGGGCCTCCTCAACAGCGGCAACAACGGCAACACCAGCAACCACATGTTTGCCGTCGAGCTCGACACAACCCAGAATGAGGAGTTCCAGGACATGGACAACAACCACGTCGGCATCGACATCAACAGCCTTGACTCCTTGCAGGCCTACCACACTGGGTACTACGACGACGGGAGGGGATCCTTCAACAACATGACCCTTATCAGCGGCAAGGCGATGCAGGTATGGGCTGACTACGATGGCGTGTCCACGCAGATCAACGTCTTCTTGGCTCCTCTCGGATTCGCTAAGCCGGTGAGGCCACTGCTTTCATCTCCCTACAACCTCTCCACAGTTCTGAGAGAACCATCCTACATCGGCTTCGCAGCCACAACCGGCGCAATCAGCACGATCCACTGTGTTCTCGGCTGGAGCTTCGCCATGAATGGCCCTGCTCCTGCCATTGACACATCCAAGCTCCCAAAGCTACCACGTCTTGGTCCAGAGCCGCGCTCCAAGGTCCTGGAGATCACCCTGCCTATTGCCACGGCAACATTCGTCCTCGTCATGGGAACTGTCATCATTCTGTTTCTTCGCAAGAGATTCAGGTACAGGGAGCTACGGGAAGATTGGGAGGTCGATTTCAGGCCGCACCGGTTCTCCTTCAAGGACCTGTACCATGCAACGGAAGGGTTCAAGGAAAAGAACCTGCTTGGTGTGGGTGGGTTCGGCAAGGTGTACAAAGGGACGCTCCCAAAGTCCAAACTGAAAGTAGCGGTGAAGAGGGTGTCGCACGAGTCAAGGCAAGGGATGAAGGAGTTCATCGCGGAGGTTGTCAGCATCGGCCAGCTCAGACACCGCAACCTTGTGCCCCTGCTTGGCTATTGCCGAAGAAAAGGTGAACTTCTTTTGGTTTATGACTACATGTCAAATCGAAGCCTCAATCAGTATCTATACTCTGAAGATGGCAAGCCATCAGTGAATTGGGAGGAGAGGTTACATATTATCAAGGGTGTCGCCTTTGGATTGTTTTACCTTCGAGAAAGTTGTCATACACCGAGACGTTAAGCCGAGCAACGTGCTTCTGGACAGTGAAATGAATGCAAGACTAGGTGACTTTGGTCTCTCAAGGTTGTACGATCATGGCACTGATCTGCAAACCACACATATGGTTGGGACCATGGGATACCTGGCGCCTGAGTTCGTACGCACGGGCAAGGCATCCGCTCTTACGGATGTGTTTGCATTCGGTATATTTCTCCTTGAGGTCACTTCTGGGCAGAGGCCTATCAAGCAGAACCCATTTGGCAACAAACACACATTGGTCGACTGGGTTATAGAGCGCTGGCACAACGGATCGCTCATGAACACCGTGGATCCGAGACTGCAGGGCCACTACGACATTGATGATGCATCTTTGGTACTGAAGCTAGGACTTCTGTGCTTGAACCCTTTTACTAGCGCAAGGCCCACAATGCGGCAAGTCATGCAGTACCTCGAAGGTGATACACCACTCCCAGAGCTAACACCAGCACACTTCAGCTTCACTATGCAGGCCTTGACGCAAAACAGAGGATTGGAATCACCAAACTTGCAATATCCTCAGTTATCGACGAGTTTTGCCACTTTTTCCGACCTTTCAGGAGGAAGATAACATATACATATACGGTGTTTAGCGTATCGTGTCTCTTAGATGTTAAAACATCTATTTTCTTGTGCATTTCGTCTGGATAGATACTATATTCTAATGTATTCAAACACTAGCTAGGGATCGTATATTAAACATTTACTTCACTTCAGATGTTACTCTGGATGTCTATGTTCAACTTAATTACTCAGAGTTAATTAATCAATCTTCTGTATGTTCTACATGGTTCCAGTCTGAAACTACTTGGTGTATGTAAGCACCTAGCATGTACATGTGAACTCATGAATTTTACACGAAGTTCCTGTTTGTGCTTGTTTGGAATTCCTTTGAGAAACAATGAGAGTTCACTAACTGAATGGATTACATCGGCTCGTAAGTTGTCTGTAACATCATGGCCTTTGGGTCAGTTTGAGTGATATATATAGGTGGCAGTCGCAGAGCTTGAAAGAAATCTTAGGAGGGGCGAAGCTACAATTTTTTAGTACTACCCCAAATCATACGGGTTGAATCAACTGTACTTGCAGTGTCGACCTTGTGTACCATAAATTTGCAATTCTACAAAAGGGTCTGCATAAGGCCTGCTTTAAATCTGCTCTCCACACATCATCGCTTCGATTAGGTGGATATTACCAAATATGTGGACACAATGCTGGATCCCGTTCCAAGAATTCAATCCCTCAGAATAAGACTTCAACTGCTTGACTTTGCTGCCATTGTTCATTTGTTCTTTATGGCTTTCATGTTCAAACTGGAGTAAGAAGAGAGGAGGCCGAGCATTCATTACCTTCACATTCACCTATATTTCTTTTGTATAAAATGAATCAGCAGTATATTGGCACTCCACCTAATCCCTAGCTTCGGTTCTTTATGCTGTATAAACAACAAACTTGTCTAGTGCAAAATCTCTGACCTAGTTAGGATCCCCCACCCCCACTAATTAAGATGCAGTGGAAACTAGGAATGAAACTGGATAAAATTACCGACTGGAGAGGGAGAGTAGACTGCTCTTGTTGCTCACCGCGCGCAGAGCCGGGGTCGCCCTGATGCTGAGCGCGGCCGCGACGAGGCGTCTCCATCTGACGGACTGGAGAACGGACGCCCGCCGCGGGTTCCCCCCTACGCCCGAACGCATCTGGCCCTATCCGGTCCCGTTTCGCCAAAGCAAGTCCCCGCGAGAGAGGCGACACGAGAAGCAGAGTGCTTTTTTTTAGATGGAAGAAGAACAGAGCTTTTTTTTTTTTGAGACATTGGAGAAGAACAGATCGCTGCTGGCTGCCTGGCTGATGAAATCCTATTCGGCACCTATGGCGCACAACACACTCCGTGACGCGAATTCAAAATCCGTTCATGAATTGCAAAAATCGTTCGTGAATTATAAAATATTTGCAGGTTCAAAAAATGTTCACAAATTTATAAACAATCTTATCAAATATAGAAATAAAAAAGATAAAAGATAAAGGAAAGAAGGAAAAGAAAGGAAAAAGAGAAAAAGAGAAAATAGAAAAAATAGACAAATAAAAACAGGGCGAAAAACCGAAAGAACAAGAAAAACATTGGGAGAAATCAGTATAGGTCGATCCGTACTGAGGACGTGGGGCATAGGGAGGGTATGGTTGGGTTGATATCCAGCGACCCATGCGGCATATATGAGTTGCCCCTATAGTGCCCGCTGCAAACCATATGTGGTGGACACCCCGTCGTGGTTGACCCATAAACGTTGAATTATTTCTTATTTTGCGTGGAGCGTCTAGCCGGTTTTTCGTTTGTTCTTTGTTGTTTTTCTTTTTTATTTTCTCGTTTTCTATTTATTTTGAATTTTTATTTTCCCATCTTAAATTCCCACATCTTTTTTTCAAACTCGTGACATTTTTTAAAATATGTGAACAATGGCTTCTCTAGTGTTAGCCTCAACCTCGACGGCAGTGCCATAGTCACACCGGACGGGCTCCTCAAGCTCACCAATGATACCATCAATCTCAGCCATGCCTTCTACCCCACCTCATTCTGTTTCTTCGCAAGAGATTCAGGTACAAGGAGCTGCAGGAAGATTGGGAGGTCGATTTTAGGCCGCACCGGTTCTCCTTCAAGGACCTGTTCCGTGCAACCGAAGGGTTCAAGGAAAAGAATATTCTTGTTGTCGGCGGGTTCGACAAGGTGTACAAAGGGACGCTCCCAAAGTCCAAACTGAAAGTGGCAATGAAGAGAGTGTCTCATGAGTTAAAGCAAGGGATGAAGGAGTTCATTGCATAGGTAATTAGTATCCGTGCAATTGGAGGGAGAAAAAACCCATCGATAGAAAGTGGTGGGAGGTGAGGCGAATTAAAACCGTGAAGGCGAAGCTACCAAGTCCACCTTTAGGAGTAGAGATACCCGAGATGCAGTTCTTGATCCCGCTGCTCACAGGACATTCCAAAGCCTCCGATCCAATTCCTACTGGCATGAAGCTAATGCCTTTTCAGGTAGAGGCCGGAAGAGTAGAGGTGTGGTGGAAGGAAATCCGAGGGAGCTGCGGGAGGGAGAAGGGACTACGGTCACGAGGAAGGAACATGAGAGCTAAGGAAGGATATTATGCGTTTTGTTGGATAACACGACTTGTTTCCTTTTTGGTTTGTTGAGGATATAATCTTAAGATATTTGTTTTGGTAGTGAATTGATTACGTATCGATTTGTAGCAATAAATACATGCAATAGCAAGGAAAGGAGTGAACGGGCCTGTAGCCTAGTGGTTGCAACGACCTTACTAGCACCCCAGGTCCTAGGTTCGACTCCCGGTGGGAGCGGATTTAAACAGGCCTGGGCAAAATTTTCTGGAATAAAAAGGTGGTGGGAGGTGAGGCCAAAAAACAAGATGAGATAAAACCATGCAGGCAAAGCTACCAAGTCCCCCTTTAGGAGTAGAGAGTTGTTCACCGTACACATAATATAGTGTGTGTGCATGCATGAATATCCGCTGCCCTCCTCATCATGACTTGTCCATCTTGTATGACCAGGCGTGAAACAATTTGACATCAAGTGTTTATGCAACATGCTGAGTCGTGTGTTTGCATAATATCATTCTTGCAATCAACACACAGACAACATATTTTGCTTCCAATAGCCCTTCTACTCATAGAACATGCATCCAACTTTAAGAGTGGTGCTAACCTTAGAGATTCAATATTGGAACAAAAGCGAATAACCATAATACCTTCAAAGCACACAAATACTTACAGTATCATATGACATGACATTATGGATGGAATACAAAAATTTGACGCCGACCTAAATCGATGTATTACACAGAGCATACAACTCAATTTACTGACACAACATATGCGCAATGCAAACAATCATTGTATAATCATATCCAAAAATGAGACTAGTAATTTCAAAATTTCTATGTTTCTTTTTTTGATTTTTTTTGTTTTAATTTTTCAGTTTTTTGTCTGTCAAGAGTGTGCTTCACGTGAAAATACGATATTGCTTCCGCGTGAAGCACAATAGTGCTTCCACGAGAAAAGGGAAGCATGGTTGTGCTTCGCGTGAAGCACATTAGTGCTTTCTGTGAAGAAAAGTAGTGCTTCAGAAGCAAAATTTACTTTGTGCTGGGAAAACAGTTTGGTTCACACTGGAGCACAAGTTGCTATTAGCTGGAAGCACAATTTTGCCCTGAAAAAGTCATAGAAATCTATCATATCTCTACTCCTAAAGGGGGATTTGGTAGCTTCACCTCCACGGTTTTATTTCGTCTGTTTTTTTTTTTTGCCTCATTTCTCCAAATTATTTCGTGGATTGGATTTCACTTGCCTGTCTACGGTTCCCTTGCGTGTGCTCGGGATAGGTGTTTTGTATAAATGTTTCGCCGTATTATTAAGTATTCTCCTTTAGTTCACCACCATCTAATGATGGGTTTTTTCTTTCTCCCATTAAAAAACTAAATCTCTACTTCTAAAACGCTCTTCCCTCTCACCGGTTTCTTTCTAGCCCATCCTTTCCTTGCTAATTCATGTAAATCGATACGTAATCAACCCTCTACCAAATCAAATATCTTAAAGAGTATATCCTCAACAAACACAAAACAAAACAAGTCGTGTTATCCAACAAAACGCAGAGTATCCTTCCTCGGTTCTTTTATTCCTTCTCTGTGATCGTAGTCCCTTCTCCATCCCGCAGCTCCCTCAGATTTCCTTCCACCACACCTGTGCTCTTTCGGCCTCTACCTGAAGGCATCAACTTCATGCCAGTAGGAATTGTTGAAAATAAATTTGTGGTCTACCCCCTATATCCTCTGCGCTTATCCGTGGTGCCGCTCACAATTCGCGTCCCTGAGGCTAGGGGGTAGGGACCTTCTTATACTGTCTTTCCAAAGAGTCCACCTCTTATACAGATATAAGATTCCTAGTCTTTTCCACTAGTTTCCGGGATAGAGTCCAGATCAAATTACCAACCACGATCATATTTGTCTATTAACGGATTCTACCCGTTATGTCCCCGGAGCACGCGCTTGTGAGCAACGCGTCATAATAAAGTGTAAATTTCTCTAATTATGTAGATCAACATTAGGGCTGTAATCTAACTATATGATCTAGCTCCTTTCAATCATCAGTGTACCCGGGTAGTCATTCCAATATAAATAGTATATTGTATTCCACTGATAATCGACCAGCTTCCTTAAGCATATATTACTTAAGTACATTCCAGCAAGTAACAATTCCATGCTAAACATGTAAATCAATTCCACGTATAAATACATGTACAGTTCCATAATGAGGTATTCCGAATATTAACAATTCCAAGCAATTTGAATATAGTTGCAGGACACATAATTCCAACATCTCCCACTTGTCCAAAACGATCATTCAAATATTCGTAAACCCGTAGCCATAAAATGCTTACCAAATACCTCGTGACTAATAGGCTTAGTCAAGGGGTCAGCAACCAGATTAACACTACATTGAAAATCCAAAGAAATATATAGTGATACCTTCCCTCAGTATGTTTCCTTGTTGTGATACTTAAGGACACCA